ATTTGGCTGTCTTCAACCAAATCATTTATCAGGTCTGGTTCACTGCAAGGCCACAGAAGTGGCTGTTCCAGTACAGGAAAAGGGACACTAGAGGGGTGTGAGTAAGAAAGTGAGTGTAGAAATCCATCCTGCTTATGCTTGTTTAACGTTGTTATTGTCTTGCAGCCTCTGACCAGAGTCACAAACAATTGCAATAGTAATGAAGCAGCTGTAAAAGAAAAATGAATGTTAAAAATGCCTGTACTTACTTTATCTGAATACAGTGCCGTCAATACTTCAATCCTTGTGAAGAGTGCCACTTCCACAATTAAACCAAATATTTTGCAAGACACATCTTGCACATTTGCAATTTAAGTCAAAACAGTGATTTTTGCAGTGGAATCATTGATATTTCCCCGTTTCACCCTCTCTGCTTAGTTTCTGCAGTCAAGGTTAGATGCTGTACGGGTACATACAGTGTTGTGCATGTTGCTAAGACGTAGTCCCATTGCTGAAGAGTGCTGCCTTATCCCCTCATTTTTGTCATTCACATGTACCTCTAAACTGTCTAGCCATAGCCAGTTCACACTGACAGGCACTTGGTGGTGCTAACAGGGAAAGGTAGGTTCAGATCTGGTCATGCATTTGTTTTATCACCCACAGAAATACAGCTTCTCATCTGCAGTGAACTTCAAACAACCTTTTTTTGTCCTTAACAGAGCTCTATTGGGTCTCAACAGTTGGCAGGAGTCTGCACATCCAGAACTCCTTGCAAGGCAATTAGACTAAGAACTTTAGGGTGAGTGGGTCTTTGGGTGTCCATGAAGTCCATTCAGTTCAGATTAGGAGGCCCATAAAATGCTATGTTGTTTTACCATTGCTGTTGGGCATTACTGTTACAGAACTGCATTCTTAGATTAGAGCCTTGGTTGTAGAAGCTGGAGTTAAATACTGCCTTGCAGTTTTCCCCAACTTCTCCGTAACTCTTCTCAACTCTAACCTTTCTGTGAGTTTCAGTCTGGAATACATGGCTGTTTTCTTTCCTTCTGCAAGTTTTTCACCAAACCTCTGAAGTGTTATTCTTCCCAAGGTTTACTGTATTCCATAAACAGTTGTGAGATCACTTGACTCACAGCCTTCCAGTACCATTCACCTGCTTTCTGTTTCTGGCTGGAAGGGTTGAAGGAGCTGTCACTGCACCATCTCTAACATAGTCAATAACAAAAGCTGGTGGGAAAGGCATTTTAGTGAGTCTGAAACTCACCAAAGCATGTGTGAGCTATTTGTACTATAGGTAACAGCTTATTAATTTAGTACTGGCAAAAGGAGCTCGTGGCTTTTCCAGCTGCTCCTTTTTTATCAGCGTTACTGCACACCAGATGGATTACTATTGCATGATTTAAAGTCAGTAAGATTAACTTTGCTTGAAATGTTCTCTAAACTACTGGCCAAAGAACCCAAACAACAATGCTACTATTGGAATAGCACTTTGCTCTGCTCACCTAACCTAGGTAGAAATCTATGTGATACAGGTTTGTTTTTTTTTTTACCCATGGACTACATGGTGCAAAATTGTGCATTGCTGTAGAGCCCTGTGACATATATTTAAAGTGACAGCTATCTGTCTTTCTTGCTGAGAGGTTTTAATCTTAGTCACACTATTTGCTATCCAAGAGAGGCCCTAAGCAGGGTAGCTTTCAAATCTATGGTCTTGTCATCACCATGTGAAATTTAGTCATTTTCCAAACTTGTCGGTACATGATATCCCCATGACTGTGTATACAGTTCCACTATTGTAAGATATTTCTTGAATTCTTTAAGGAGATTTTTCCCCTAAATGCCTTGACAGATGTGGTCCATGTCTATTCACTATGATTTCTAGGCTAATAACCATTAGAAATGTGATCGTTGACTTCATTAAATCTTGCTATTTGTTTTAATATGTTCCAATATCAAGTTCAAATTGGCCAGTACGTCTAACAATTTCAAATAACAAAGTTCTCGGAGAAGGAGCATAACAGCAGTTGGCAATGATCTCACAAGGTTGCTTAACTCCCAGGTCCTGTAAGGTTCTGCTTTTATTTTCAACACTGGTGCTTATAGGCAATATGTCTTATTTTTTTACGCATGGGAATTTTCTGTGTGATTTTTAATTGCATGTTCTGTCTCTCCAGCTTCGTAAAGTTTTTGCCTTCTTATATGCATTTATTTTGATAGCAGCTTACAGAAAAAGAACGAAATAATCTATCTGTAATGGAGAATATCCAGGGAAAAATCTAAACTTTCAAAAACTGATTTGAACTGTAATTTTGATATTAAGAAAATAGATTGTTATATAATGATTGGAAATTTAGTATTCTGGTTCACTAGCTGTGAAAAAAGTTATTATGAGAAGGGTATACATGTGGTTTTTAATCAAAATAGTTCTGGGTAATCTTTTATGTGGTATAGAATTAGCTACATTATATTTATGTCAGACAGATTATAATAAAAAAAAAAAAACTTTCCAACAAAAGACTTCCTCTACATTTAACTCTTTGGGATTGTGTCACAATAAGTGGAAATGGATAAACCTGTTTAGGTCATTCTGGGAGCTGTTTTGTTTGACACACATCTGCCACATGTTCAATATTAGTAGGCTTGAATTTTCTAAAAGTGGGTTCTTGGTATATAGATTTATATATTAGTAGATTTGAATTTGCTTTTTAAGAACTTGAGTTTCAAGCACATATCAGTACAAACAATTTTCTACAACTGCAGAGCTTTGCTGAATGAATTGAACTAATCACTACAGTGTAAAACACAAAATGACAGTTTGTCATCTTGTTCATTGTCATTACTACCACGAATCTTACTGTCCATCACACACAGGACTAAACATGCTCCAAATATGTATTTGCAAAGAGAAGGCTCAGGAGCTGGAGCCCTTTGAAGTTTCATCCTAATCTGTGCCCCAAAGATGGTATCATCTGTCTTTTAGGTCAACTCTTCCTTGAGTTTGGCTTATGATTCCAGTTTTTATTACCAATTCAATAGCTTTTAAAAATAATATTTCATTGCTTTCTTCCATGCATCTTTTCCTACTTGGGAGGGATCCTTTGTAAACATCCATGAAGCTCCCTTACTTTCATCACTCTGATTCCTCCTTAAAATTCTCTTTTGCTCTTATGGCTTATAAAAAAATGGCAGTGTTTAGCTGCCAACATGCTGTGACTGGCAGGTATCGTATCAAGACAGTATTCCCCAGTAGTTAGTGTCTGCCTCGCCATTAGTTTGAACACATTTGTAGCTTCTTGTCTTATGCTTGGACTGTAAGCTTCGAGGAGGAAGCACCTCCTTGGAGTTCTATGGATCTACAGTAACTAGGAAAAGAGAATGCTAAACTAGAGACCTAAACCTTGCCACACACACCCTTCTGTAATTAAAGTAATGAGTAACAATAATTAAAAAGCTCAAGTTTTGTCTAACATGCATGCTATTGCTTAAAAATATTGGAGATGCTATACGGTTTTAGTTGCGATGGATTTTATTTGGGATATAGGGAGCAGAGAATGTGAATTTAACCAAAAGATCTTTTTTGAATGAGATTTTTTATTTCCAGTGAGATGAAAAAAAAATATTAACAAAGAAGGAAATCAGATTTTTGGAAATTCTGAATTTGCTTCTGTTAAAAGTAGCGTGGTCTCACTGAAACTGGAACTTAATAAAGCACTTTTTAGCATCGTTAAGGCCAGTAAGCAGCTGGTTCTTGGTTAGGAGGGCATGCTTTTCTCTGTGGCTAAGTCCAAAAATACTGTGTATCTCTAAGGCTGAATAAATTCAGTATGCAGATATGTTTCCTTGGAAACAGCTCGTAATTTTAAAGCACATGCAGCAATGCAGCCCTTATGTAATTTATTAATGTAAAAGACCTGGCTCTCGTGAGCCTTATTAAATAGATCAGCCTGTATTGGCAGGAAAAAAGAATTTGTGTTGATTACAAATACAGCTTTTCAAGTGCTATGAGATACTGAGATATGTTCAAGTGGAGCTGATATTACTGCTATTGTGCCAAGTTGTATTGCCCATTTGGGTGAAACAGTTCACTTTCTTCCTGAAGAATATGAATACTCAGGACATTCTGCCTATTCTAACAACTTACTTCTTTATTGCTCCTAGGGTACCACTGTTTAGAAAAAGTTATCTTGCTCTTCCTTTTTAAGATGCCACGTTCCAGGGAACATAAATCCTAGTCTGAGTTTAAACAAAAGAAAATTCTCCATTCAGTTCCTTCTCAGGGCACTATTTCAGCTATGTCCTCGTTTGTATTGCAATAACATGAATGATCCTCACAGATCTATATTTTAGACTCATAAAAATATATAATGTCTCTATTCCAAAGCAGTCTCCAGGCTGGACTGAGCA